TCTCTTATAGTAATTCTACATAACTTTTGTTCATTCTTATTAACTTCAATCTTAGTTTCATTTTCTTTTTTCTTCTCTTGTTGTTGTTCTGTTGGAAATTCAGTAAGTAAATTCTCAATAAGTTCTTCTTCTTTTTCTGAATTATTCTCTATATGAATTTTAGTGATAGTATATGGTTTACTAATACTTAAAATTCTTGACTTTCCAACAACAAACCATGCAGAAGATGTTGTTTCTTCTGGTCCACTAATTCTATCAATTCCTTTATTTCCAAAAATTCCATAATGATGAAGAACTGTTTCAATAAATAAATCAGCTCCTTCAGATGCTCCCATTTTATTATTTGGTTCATTTTTTATTGCCAATGCTATAGTTATAGAATCAACTAATTTTTGAATTAATTCAGTTGTTAAAGAATAAGAAAAAGAAGAAGGACCTCCAACAAAGAAGTCTGATAATGTAAGGAATATTGTTCCTATAGTTTGACTTTCTACTTCTTTTTTGATTATAATATCACACAACATTGAAATTATAAGTATTACATAATCTTCTGGAATATAAATACGAAGTAAATTAATAGCATTTAAAACGTTATCAATCACATTTACATTTTGGTTTGGTTGAATAAGATTTATAAGATTAATTACTAATTCTTTAAGATTGTAATCTTCGGTTTTATTGATAATAATTGTCTTTTCAATAAATTGTTCAATAATCCAAATAAAAGTAATAATACCAGTAGATGTTTTCATCTGTTTAATACCATCATTTATTACTTCTGAAATAATAGAGTATAATGACTTTTCTAATGTAAATTGTTCAATTACTTCTTTAGAAGAGAAACAAATATTAATCATTGTTGTTAAGAGTTGATTCATTTTCATTTCATTATTTCCATCAAGTCCTACCTTTTTAAAAGCTAAGAACATTTTAAAAAATTGTGGAATTAATATTTCACTTCCAGGTAATTCAACACTATAAATATTATAACATCTAATTAAAATTGTTTCAATAACTTGGTTATTATCTTCTAATGAAACTTCATTAATCATTTGATAAAAATATCCATATACTTTACTACTTGTTTTTGGTATTTTTCTAATCATTAAATCACACATAGAACCATATAATAAACATTTTTCATCTTCATTATCTGTTCTTTTTAATGCTTTAATTAAAAATGGTAAAAATGTATCATATAATTGAATTCTTCCTTCTTCATTAAAATCATTATTTGTTTCTCCATATGAATCAACAATAAGTAAATATTCTAATGTTCTCATAAGTACTTTACAACAATTTAAACGTGCAATTGGTTCTAAAGTATCAATATCTTGAAACATTTCATTAAAAATATTCCATAATCCAAGAATGTCTGTTGTAGTAAAGTTAATAAGATATTGTTTTAATGATTCATCTTCAGGAATTGTTTCTTTTTCATCTATTTTACTATCAAATTGAATTAATTCAACTGTTTTTAATTTCATCATTTGAAGTTGAATTGGTAAAGGAGGTTGTATAATTTCTTTCTTATGATAATGTTTATCAATTAATTCTTTTGTTAACTGATTAAATTTTCGTTCTATCTCTGCAATAACCATTTCTTCTTTTAAAAATGGTTTTAATCTTTGTTGAAGTTCTTTCCATTCTTCTATATTTGATTTATTCCAATAAATCCAAACTACAAATAAACAATCAACAACTACTGTAATCAATAATTGTGTTTGAACTCCAACTTTTTCAGGTAAAAAGCCTAATGTTCCTTCTTCAACCATTTTAACCATTTCTATTTTTAATGATTCATTAAAATAAGATTGTTGTAATGATAATAAGATTGTTTTGATTAAATTTTGGATTAAAATCTTTACTTCTGGTTCTTCATTTCCTTTATTTTTAATAAAAATCTTCGTGATTTTTGATATGATTTCTTTTTGAAATTCAAGGAGTTGACTTTCTGTTGTATTTTCTGTTTTTAAAAAGGAAGGATCATTGAAAATGAAATTAGTAAAATATAATTGAACAGCTTTTGTTATTAGTTGATGTTCAATTACATCTAAATCAATAGAAATATCATAAAAATACATTAATAATTGTAAAAGATTATTATGATATGGTGTAATAGCTTTTAATAATGTAGTATTTGAAAGTGTTTTAATAATATAATCCAAAAGATCTGTTGGGATAGTTTTATTTGTATATCCTGTTTGTTGTTTAAAAGTGTCAATACAATAAGTTTTACAATAATCAGAACAAATATAAGAAAGTAACTCTTTAAATAAAGGATAAAGAATTTCTGGATTATTAGTAAGATATTCAAAGAAGATATCAAGTAATCCATATGTTTGTTGTTTTGGTTTTGTAGTATCATTAATTTCTGAATGAATAGGAGTTGGAGTTCCAACAGGAATATGAGTACAAGTAAGATGAAGTGTTATATTATTACTAAATCCTTCAAGATTTAAAGAACCAATAAATAATTTAGGATATGTTGTTTCTTCAGAAACTGCATTTAATTTAACTAAAATATTCATAAATGATTTAAACATACTTTTACGCATAGGATATGGTGTTTCTACTGCTAAAAATGTTGTTAAAATTGAATTAATTGGTTCAAGAAATGTAACTTCACTTGGAGAATAATTTTCAGCAGCAAAATCCATTAATGTTTCTACTATTAAGCAATCTTTTTCTGTTAATGGTTTTTGTTTTTTATATAATCCTTCTAATGCTGGTGGATATAATGAGAATAATCCATGAAGTAATGATTTATGTTCTTTAAATATTTGTGCTAATTCTTCTTTTTTGTTATTCTCTAAAAAAAATAAAATTGCTTTTTGTCTACTAGATGGTTCACTTTTTCCATCTAATATTGTTTGTTTATGTTTCTTTAATTTTTTCTCTATGTCATTAAGTTTTTGTTTACTCGACATTTCTTCTTTTTACTTCAATTAATTTTCAAAGTTCTTTTTCTTTTAATTTTTTCTTTAAAATTTTTTTTTTCCTTTAAAATATTTATTAGAATTTATAGATTTCTCACTTGTTAAATGAAACGCTTCACAAATGTTGTTCGTAAAAATGAAAACAGTTCACCACAACAACCACAATTAGCGTTTGTTAGTACTGATATTTCTAATAATGAAACACAAAACAATAGTTTTATTTTTTGGGAAATAGCAAGGATGTATGACTTTTATTTATTAAGACTTCTTATTAGACATTCTTCAGCAACAGTAACTGAATTTTGGGATTCTATAAGAGATTTATTAGAAGAATCAGGTCAAATATATAGAATATTATCAGAAGAATTACAATATGAAATATCTAATACAAGTGAAGAACAATTTTTACTTCGTTCTAATTCAGGAGCAACTCATTTATTATCATCAGTGATGAGACGAGATTTAACTTCATTATTAGAGAAACATATGAATCCAATCATTCAATCAGTTAATCATATCACTGATCAAATCAGTTTAGATTCAAAAGATGATAATTACACGAAAAGTATTACTACTTTATCTGAATTATTACATCTTCATTGTTCTCGTTTTCTTAGTTTAGGTAATGATTTTCCACAAGGAATTAAATATATTTTAGCTACTTTAAGAAATGCTGTTTCTGAAAAATTTCCTGATAGTGCAATTCGTTCAATAGCAATTATTATTTTCCATAGATTAATTACTCCAGCATTAGTTTCTCCAGCAAATTATAATTCATGTTTAATTGAACCAACAGAAAATGCTAAGAAAATATTAGTTATTTTAACTAAAATTTATCAATCTTTTATTCCTCAAGGAGAAACTCCATTAACTAATCCACAATTAATTCCTTTTAATACTTATGTTGTTTCTATGTATGAATCAATGAATAAATTCCTTGACTCAATTTCAATAGAAACAGAATTTCCTCATTTACATCGTGCACCTATTTTATCAAAAGATGTTTTAGATCATTGTTATAAAAATATTAGTGATGTTATTAATTCAATGACATCAGTTGTTCTTTCTAATCTTGTTTCAAGAGCTACTGATGATAATAAACTTATTTTATTAGAAAATTTCTTTGCATTAATTTGTACTTCATGGGATAAAGAACCTTTACATAAACTAATTAAACCAAAAACTCTTCAATTATTTAATGATGAAACAGATGAAAGTTATCTTAAAGTTGCTGAAGGATTTAAACAAACCATTTTAAAGAGAATTAAAAAAATAGATGAATTAAATGATGAAATATTCTTTTTAAGAAACCAAATAGAAGAGTATTGCATTTCAAAAGGATTAGACTTTGAGAAATTTATTGAAGATTATAATCCTTTTAAACCTTTACCACCTCCTTGTTATACAAGAGAACGATGTGGTTTAGGATTATTAGAAACAGAAGAAAGTAATGAAATAGATTGTAGTAAAGACGTTCGTTCATCACTTTCTAGTAGTGTTTTGTCAAATGAAGAGTCAGCTTCAATTCTTTCTGATAGAACAATGAAAAATGAAATAACTGAATCTTCTAATCAAGGAGAAATGTCTCAAAATGAATAGACAAAATAATGTCATTTTTCTTTCAAAATGATATTTTACTTTAGTTCACTCAATAACACATTTTTATTATTTATATTACTATTTTGTTTTTAGCTAGTATTTACTATCAAAATATTATCATAAAGATATAGTAAAGAAGTTGAACTAGAATCTATAGAATTGAACTAAATATTTTTTATATTAATAATTAGTAAAAAACTTGATAAATAAGGATTTAAGAAGTAAAAAAATAAAATAAAAAATAAAAAAAAGAGAAAATTCGAAAAGAGGAAAAATTCAAATTGACTTCCAAAATGTTCTTTGAAAATTCACATTAAAATAGAAATCTTAGGTAAATAAGATTGAAAATAAAAAGAAATATAAAAAGACATAAAAAAGAAAAGTGAAAGGAAAAGTAAAAAAATAAAAAAAACAAAAGACATATAGTTTTATCAAACTTGAATTGAATTTTTTGTTCTTTCAATGCAGAGAGATAATCCAAATAATATGAAACGAATAAGAAGAAAAATGATGTCACTAAATATTCCAACAAGACCATTTTTATTAACAGAAAACACAGGATCAATTATTCCAACATTAAGTGAGATTATTTTAGATTCTTTCGGTAGATTTGAACAAAACTTTTCATCTCAACAAGAACAGACACCAATTGCTCTTCCACCTGTTTTAGCAAGTAAATTAATTTATCGAATATCAAATAATCCAAATGCAAGTGAATCAGATTTAAATATTATTCTTTTCAGAATACTTTCTTCAGGAACACCATTACAAGTAATTGATCTTCATCATACCCATTTATTAACTAAATTTACCTGTATGAATTTATCACAACTTTGTAATAATGTTTCTATTACTACACTTAATATTTCATATGCAACTGGAATTTCATCAGAATCATTAAAAGTATTATTTAGGTCATTTAAACAATTAAAATATTTAAATACTGAAGCATGTGTTGGATTTGATGATAATGCATTTATTTCATTATTAACTATTCATCCACCACTTGAAGTAATAGTTATTTCTAATTGTCCAAAAATTAGTGATAAAAGTGTTATTGAATTAAAGAATATTAATTCATTAATATCATTTAAAGCTAATAATATTCAATTAACAATTTCTAGTATTTCAGTACTTCATGGACTTAAAGAAATAGAGTTAATGGGAAATAATTGTTTAGATGATCAATGTTTATTAAAAATATCACAACTCAATCCTGATTTAACAAGAATATGTTTTGGAAATAGTAGATTAAGTGATGAAGCACTTCAAAGACTTCTTCAACAATTAAATGGAAATTTAATTTCATTAAATCTTTCAGGATGTACAAGAGCTGGACCAATGACATTAGCACAATTATTTAATTCACAATTTAAATTAAAGTATTTAAATCTTGCTAATTGTTTTGGAATTAATGGAGATTCAATTTTAGAGTCATACCATCCTATGTTTCGTTCAACTCTCTTTCGTTGGTTAGAAGAAATAGAATATCTTAATATTTCTGGTTGTATTCGTCTTTCAGAAGAATTTATTACTACAACGCTTATTGCATCTCCACAATTAAGAAGTTTGATATTAGATGATACTGCTGTCACAGATCAATGTTTACAAGAATTTATTCAATCTTCTATTACTTATAATCAAACTGTTAGAAGATCAATTCATACACCAGGAATGAAAGTTCATCCTTTAACTTTATCACTTAAAAGATGTATTAGATTAACTGATAATGCATATACAAATCTTTTTCAAACAAGAGGTGTAGATTTGATATCACTTAATCTTTCTTTTTGTAATAGTTTATCTAGTTTATCATTAAATGTATTTAGTTTATATTCAAATACATTAACAAGTTTTTATGCATCAAATAATGATATGATTTCAGAATATAGTTGGTTAAAATTTATTGCTTCATGTCCACAATTAAGAGTATTATTTTTATCAAATAATAGAGGAATAACAAATGAAGTTATTAATCAAATTAAAATATCTTGTCCTTTAATCTCCCATTTAGATATTTCTTCATGTCTTTCTATTAATCAATTTGTTATTCCAATATTATGTAAAATGCAATCATTAGAATATATTGATATTTCTTTTGATGTAATGATTAATGAAGATGGTATTATTTCACTTGTAAATAGTTTAACTAGACTTTCTACTTTTTGTATGCAAGGAATTGCTTTTAAACAAAGTTATTTATTCACTGAAGAAGCTCAATGGTTAAATTCTTTAAAACTTAATTTTATTCCAATGTGTGGTGATGATGTAATGAGAAATATTGCTTCTTATTGTCCATTATTAACTTCTGTTGAACTTCGTATGTGTAGTGGAGTAACTGATAATGGAATTGAAATGTTATTACAAAAATGTACTAAAATATCTCATCTTGTTCTTGGTGGAACTTCTATTTCTCAATTTAAAATGATGGAACTTGTTGGAAGAGGTTTGTTTATTGCTTAAATTCACCTTCTTTTTTTATGAATTTCAACAGATGTACAATTTAATCCTTTGTATTTATTCATTTGTCTTTTTTTTTATTTCTTTCTTTTTCATTATCTAAAAGATTCAAATAAAATTTTCTATTCTTTCTATTCTATTTTTTAACTTTAATTTCTAATTAGAAGGAATGTTGTTGTTAGTGATGATTCTTTTACTTGACTCTTTTATGAAATACTCTACCTTTTGTAAAAAAAAAAGAAATTATTCAAATGAACTATAAATATTCAGTATTTATTTATTGGATGAGTTTAATAGAACAAGTCCAATTAAGAACAACAAAAAAAGAATTAGTAATAGTTAATGAAGAGAGAAATATAAATAATGAAGTTAATTTAACTTTTCTTCGATACAATACAACGAAAAATCCATTAATTTGTGTAGTTATGAAATCACTTATTGAAAATGAATTAACTCAAACTATTCATTTTAGAAAAGGATTTAAGACTATAGATATTATTCAAAATTCTCCAATAACTTGTTTATTAAATGAATTTATTAAAAATGAAAGAATTAGTTTTGAGACAGCATCTAAAATCCCATTATTTGAATGTCTTATGTCAGATATCTTTCAATTCATAATCAAATATCATTCATTATTACCAGAATTAACTATTGATGATTTTTATTTCAGTAATATTCATAATAAAACTTCTGTTTTTGGAGAGTTTTATTTTCTTTTTAGACTCGAATCACAAACAACATTATATTTTCTTTCAAAGAATCAATTAAAAGAATGTTTGGAGAAAAAAGAGTATGGAGAATGGAACAAAGAAACATTGGATTATTTGTGGAAAAAATATGTAGAATCTAAAAAACCATCTTCATTAAATTGTAATAATTTAAGGAGTTTCTTTCAATCAATTAAAAGAGCAATAGAATTGAAAGATATGAAATTAAAAAGAAAAACAAATGAAAAACTTCCTTTGTATTGTGATTTTGATTTATTTTTGGCAAGAATAAGAAAGACACAGAAAGTTGAAGAAATACTCCAAGACAATTTCATTGTTAAATGTTTACAAAGAAAGATTCCATTCATTATTGATAGAAAATATATTCAAATTGATGATGAAAGAAATGAGATTAATCTTCAAGAATATTATCCATTAATAATAAAAAAGTTCAATGATGAATATATATTTTTAAAACACATAAATAAAATTTATAAAATTGATGCTAAAAAGTATTATATAGGAAGTGGTGGATTTGGTATTGTTTTAAAAGGAAAGTATTTCAATACAAATGATTGGATAAATCATGCATGTATTTTATCAACAAATAATCCATCAATTAAAAAGAAATGTGAATTGTGGAAGAAGAAAATATTGAAAGAAAATAAATATCAACAATATGAAGATGTTGCTATAAAAATATTCACTTTAAAAGATAAAAATATCTCATTAAAAGAAGTTAAAATGTTAACTGCATTATATGATATTCCTTGTTTAATTAAATCATATGGAATAGTTCATATTGTTACACATTATCAAGAGTATTATCAAAATAATTCAATAGATGATACTTTTGATAGCATTGCAACAATAACAAAGTTATATAATGAAAGTACATTAACAGAATATGTTACAAATGAATTAAAAAATGGAAAGAAACAATTAAAAGAAAGAAATATTGAAGAAATGATATTTATGATATTAGATATTATGAATGGAGCATCTGCATTAGGAAGACTTGATATATGGCATAGAGATCATAAAGGAGATAATATATTTGTATATAAAAAAGAAGGGAAAAGAAGATGTGTTATTGGAGATATTGGATGTGCCAGATGTATAACAAAAAAAGAACTTTATTTGGATATAAAGAAAACAAATATTTGTAGTTATGGAAGAGGTGATACTAGAAAAGATAATGACATTTATAAAGTAGGATTATGTCTTATTGATTTTCTTATGGAAAATACAAGAATTGATGAATTTATAACAAATATACTTGGAATGGGAAATGAATGGGTTATTGCAGATCAACTTCTTTATGAAAGAATTAATGAATATATTAAACAATGTTCAATTATAGGATGTAATCAAAAACAAAAAGAGTTTTATGAATTATTGAGAAGAATTATTCAATATTGTATTTCAAGATATAATAGTAATCAAAATGATAGTCAATATAGATGGGATATTTTTGAAGAATATATTGAAGAATTAAGAATCTTTTGTAAAAATACATTTAATTTAGAGTATTTATCATATAAAAATTATCAACAAATTCATAGTTTATGTATTACAATGACAATGTTATGTTATTCTCAAGAAGTTAATATTTATCAACAATGTTATCATCCATTTCATTTTGATTCTATTCTTAAATTAGCAATACAAAATAAATATAATGAATTATTTTATTCTCCTCATCATTTCTATATTTGTGTTTTAGAATTAATATGGTATGTAACAGAAAATAAATGTGATAATATATTTATATCTTTAATAATGAAATTATTATATAGTATTGTTCATGATGTATTTCCAATATATTTTATAAATCATCCTTTCTACTATCAACAAGCTTCTACTCTCCAACAACTCTTACAATGTCTTTTAAATGAAAATTAACTTTTCTTTATTTCTTATTTTAATTATCTCATAACCAATTAAATCTTTTTAAATTAATTAAATAAATTGAAATGAACAGTGAAAAACAATATATTAAAAAGGATTAAGAATATCTAATTCATTTTCTTCGTGTTTTATTTTCTTTCCATTATTATCTTTATTTTCTTCTTTTTTTCTTTTAATTCCTCCTTCATTCATATAACAATCAATCTTTCTTAATAACTTTTTTGTTGTATTTTCAGTTAGAAGAATATCTTCTTCTTTCTTCAAATTATATTCTTCTTCCATTTCTTTTTCTTTTTTTATTTTCATTTCTTTCAACTCAACTTGTCTTTCCTCTTTTCTTTCTAATTCTTTCTCTGTCCGGATTTGATATATTCGTTTTCCTGTATTTAAATCTCGGCTCATATCATAATAATCTTCTGGTAAATTCTCTTTCTTCTTTGATTTTATTTCTTTTCCTTTTAATAACGCTCCAAATCCACCTTTCCCTCCATGTGCTCTTATTATTAAATCAAGAACTTCTCCATTATGTCCTTCATATTTTAATTTCCCATTCTTAATTAAATAAAAGTATTGTCTTGGAATATTGAAGTATTGTGAAATAAAATCAATTGTTGTTCCTTCGTTAAATGAATGAATACCATGATAGGTTACTTGAAACATAATGATTTAGTTTATTGAGTTTCTTTAAAATAACAAAATTTATTTTTCTTTATTTTTTGTGTTTTTCTATTTCTAAAATAAAATAAAAAAAAAACACATTTTAATCATCATTAAATTTAAAATTGTGGGATAGATAAATTTTCGTTTCTTATTTATTTCAGGAAAGAGAAACAAAACCATCTCAGAATTCAACTGCATAACACTTAACTACTAAATGGATAACTCAGATAAAGAATCAGCAACACCACTACTCATTACATTATTTATTATTGTATTGATTGTTAGTATTCTTACTGTCATGGTTAAGATATTAATTAATTATTTGTTTGTTAATTCTTATGTATCTTCTTTCATAGTCATTCTTTCTATCATTTTTTTTTCACTCATTTCCTTAGAAAAACTCAACAAACAATTGACCGAAGTTATATCATTAACTCTAGAAGAATTAGTGAACCAAGAACAATCGTAACACAATTTTCTTCTCCTTCATGTTCATCATCATTAACAAACTCTCTCCCTTCTCAAAGACTTAGCAATTCATCATCACTTCAACTTTCTTCAACACCTTCAACAACTATCTTACGTCCTGATGAATTACCTCAAGTTCAACCAGTATATTATCTCGATGAGAATGAAGACAACGAAATTGACAAATATTACAATCAAGGAAATGATTATAACTCTCAATTCCTTTCAATGTACTACCAGAACTTAAACACATTCTCTTCTCCTAAGTCTAGTCAAGATCGTACTGTTTCATATTCAATCGACCCATTTACTCCTCATCATCCATCATATAGTAGAAGCAGTTCTTCTCTTACAAAAACATGTAATCGACCCATTACATCAATTAGTATTTCTCCATCATCTTCTGAATTTATCAATTGACTGATTTGTGTTTTGTATATCAAAGCTTTTGAGAAAAAACTGAAAAAAGCATTATGTCTGGAAAGAAAACGTTTGACAAAAAACCGAGAAAGACACATGAAACGTCACGAGAGAAATGGCACCGAAGAACAAAATATTACGCACAAGGTAAAACAAAAGAAAAGATTGAACAACTGAAACAAATGAAGAAAAATGAAAAGAAGATTGAGAAACTTATTGCTGAGAATGCCAACCCTAATTCATTTTATGACAAATACTTTAAAGGAGAGTTAGATGATGAGATGGAAGAAGAAAACAATGTAGGATTTAAAGAACTTATCAAAAACCAAGAAAAACAACAAACTAAAAAAACTATCCAACAAGCAAGAGAAGAACGAAAAGAAATAATAAAAGAGAAAAAGAAAGAGTTGGAAGAACAAAAATTGAACCAACTTGAAAGAGAGAAAAGAAAAAAAGAAAAGTTAAAGGAAAAGAAAATTTTACTTCAAAAAACTAAGAAAGGTCAACCAATAATGAATAATATAATGAATAAGTTATTGAAAGATATTGAACATCAACAACAATAATTTGAATGATTTTTTTTTATTGTTTTTATTAGTTTGGTATTATGGAATTTAAAAAAAAAACTAAAAAATACAATACGTCATAACTTCTCTTTAGAAATATAAAACCATAAATCAAATATCTTTATTCAGAATATCCTTTTCTATACTACAATTTATTGTAGTAATATTAGTTTTTCTAATTTTTGTTAAACAATTTATTGGTTCTATTGTTCTTTAAATTGGAATAGAGTTATTCAATGTGTTTTATAATACTTATTCATTATACATATTTTCTTTTTCAAAATAAATAATAAATTGTCCTTTAAAAGAATGTTTTGTTTTGATTAGTGTAATATAATCAATAAAATAAAACTAATATAATACAAGACGTTAATTTGATATGATTTTTCTTGTTTTTTTTTTAAATAAACAATAGAGTATAGTTTTATTATCAGATTCTTTTATTTGTTTCTATATACATTTAGAGTATTATCTATACTTTTATGATATTTTGATTTTAGGTTTGATAACAAAATAGTATAAATATTAACGATAGTTCAAATTAATTATATAAGTGTCGATTCAATTTATTATCGTTTTATTAAATAAGTTTATACTAGTTTACAATGTTGTAATTGAAACAAATCCATATTATTAATTAGTTGAAGTAATAACTTCATTTGATAATATAATATTTGAATTTACTATGATTTCATTTTGAGTTGGTATTTGAATTGTATAATTAAAATCAATTTTTTATACTGTACTTATTTTATTGTTTTGCCATGAGTATTATATTTCGTTTTATTTGAATAATATTATGTTTTTATTTTATTATTATCAATAAAGTTTTCAATTAATGTAGTATATTGTAATTCATTCTTTATAATTCAAAGTAATAATATTAATTCATTAACAATATTTTAACAATTATATTAATTTTTCGTGATATACCAATACAATGTATTATTGTTTAGACATATATAAGTTCATTATTACATAATATTAACTTTATAAAACAATACTTTATCGTAATTATTTTATTATTGGTAAGTTATTTGATTTCAATATTAATCAATTTAACATGTATTTGAATTGATTCTGTTTTATTTATTTTATCATTTCATAATTACTAGTCGTGTTATTTGTTATTATTCATAAATATATTTGATCAATAACTTCAAATTTCTTCATTAAAAAGAACTTTTCATAAAACAGTGTTTGTTCAATTTTTCAATGTGTAATGTTTCATCAGAAATAGTATATGTAGACATATGAACTAGTAACAATAATACAGTGTAAGAAATAAAATGTAGATAGAAGTAGATAATGTTTGAAAATGACTATAACATTTATCTGATTTTTCATTTTCAGTAATAGAACATTCTCTTTTATATTTAGATTATTTATTTTTCTTTAATTTAGTTATTTGTTATTTTGAATGATTGTAAAAAATATCAAATTCAATAAGTCTTGTCATTATTCAACTTTATTAATTCTCAATTTCAATTTTTGTTCAATAACATGAAAATACAGCAACAAAAGAAACAAATAAAATAAAAAGAATAAAAATATATAAAAGAATAAAAAGAAAGTATAATAAAGAATATGAAAATAATAAAACACAAAGAAATAATAAAAGAAGAAAAGAGAGAATAAATAAAAAGTGTATTTTTAATGTAAAAATTAGAAATATTCAATAAAAGTGTCTAATTTAATGATGTAAAACAATTAACATTGTTTTATTGTTGAAAATATTTTACTCTTTTTTATGTTTATTATTTATATGTATAATTTCAACATGATGTTTATTATATATTCAATCATATGTGTTATGTTATTATAACATATAATAAGTGATAAAATATAAATGAAAATGATATGAATATATGATATAGATTGAATATAAAAACAAAAGAATAATAAGAAGAAATGATAAATAAAACGAGAAATGATAATCAATGATATAATAATAAAATCAAAGTATAAAATAAATTTAAAATCAATATAAATCAAAAGAGAATAAATATAAAATGAAAATAGATATAAATGATAATAATATAAAAGATGAATAAACAAATAAACAAATATATCTAAATATAAAAGAATAACAATAAGAAAATCTAAATAATATAAACATAAAAATAATAAAATAATAAAACAAGAATAATATAATAATATATAGATAATAAGAATAACACAATGATATAAATAATATAAACAGAGAAATAAATATATAAAAATACGATAGATAAAAATACGATAGATAAAAGAATATAAATAATAAAAATAAATATGATTCATCAAATAATCTATTTCATTAATATTTCATACAAAATGAATACAATTGATCATAAAATATAAACATAAATATTTATATATTCTGTATTTATCATATTTTTTATTTTTATTATTTTATGAGCAAAATATAATAAATGGAAAATTCTATTGATGCAAATTATTATACATCTGTCTTCATTTTTGTAAAATAATTAGATGCATTCTTTCTTTGCTTATTTTCGTGCATTTCAGTGTTTATCCCTTTTTAGTGTGAATATATCTTCCATTGAAGTGTCTTTCTTCTCAATATGGTTTATAATATC